CGTGGGATGTGGGGGAGGAGGGGAGGGAGAGACAGCTGGGATTGACATGTGAAGCAGGCTTGTTTCTAATTTAAATAAAAATAAATTTAAAAAAAGAAACTTCAAATAATGCTATAAGGAAAGATAACTATGGTCCATCTAATGTGAGTGTGCCACTTTTTATGATAGTTATTTGAAACCAAATCACATATATTGTCAAATGTATCAATTGAAAAGTAACCCTGGCCTGAAACCCAAAAGAGGAAATTCAGCTGCACATGTGTACTCCAGAAGCAGGGTCCATGGGCATTTAATTATCACTAGAGGCATAAGAAGTTTTCCTAGTAGAGAAAATAGAACCTGGGAAAGCCAGGGGGCTCCAACGTGAGGTTTCGAGTTTCTAACTGAAGCTTTACGCACCTGCAGTTCTTCATCAGTCAAGTTCTCGCCTAACTCCTTGGCCACACGCTTTAGATTTTTGAATGATATTTTCCCAGTTTCATCATCATCAAAGAGCTTGAAAGCTTTCAGGATTTCTTCTTTGGTGTCTTTCTCGGACTTTAGTAGAACAGAAAACAGATAGTTATTCATATCCTACAGTCCTGCCACTTCTTGGTCATCCTTTTGTTTCCAAAAACCTGACCTGGGCCATGTTAGGAAGGCAGGCAAGTCAGGTTCTCTGGTCCACGGTGGAATGTACTCTCTGTCTACTTCCTATCCTAACATGTATTCCATAATCAGCTCATAATTCAGTAAGAACAGATGCCAGCTTGGTGGAAAAGCCAAGAAGTTCTGATAAACGGGCACAAGGATTGGTTTGAGGGGTCAATGAGACATGTAGGGAGGACAGAGTCCTAGGGCAGCTGGACAGTTTCCACAGGTAGAAGACAAGGGCTTCTGACATGAGCTGGGGCTCATCTTTCCAACACCCAACACTGGATATTACTAGGTATCTATACGGATTGCCCTTCTTTTGCTTTGTCTTGTTCAGAACTTTCCCCAGTTCTAAAGCCAAGGGGGTAGTTTTAGGGAAACTATCTTCTTCGATTAATTCCCTGGCCCCCATCACACATCATCACATGGTCCTGGTGATAGCCCTTGTGATATATGCCTTCAGTTACAGAAAAAAGTAAGACCCATTATAGAAAAAGAAAACAAACTCAGTAAACTTAACATAAACTCTGGGATTACAAAGGAAATATAATTGTATCTAAAACACTGTACAGACCAAGGAGATTCTAGATTCTTTTTTACATTTTTAAAAGCAGCAAATAGGGTTATAATTAGAGAAAATACACTGCTAATGCTAACAGAAGTTAGAGATATACTTATAAGGGCATTTTTAATAAGAGAGGCATTTTGCACAATGGACTTCAAAGAATTACTGGGTCTCTGAGTACTCTAACAGAAAGAGTAGAATTTTCCAAAGCATTTAAACCTCAAATGTTTAATGAAGGTTCTTGCCAGGAGTTACAACTAGAGAACTAGTTAGAGCAATCTAGGAGCCAATCTTGAGTATGAAATGGATTTGCTAGAGAGCTGCAGAATACCAAGCTTCCTGATCTCTTAAATCAGTACACACATGCACATACATGAATGCAGATGTAGATACGGTGATTTCAAAACAATTCCCAACCTGTGCCTGGGAAACACTTTGAGGAACTTGAAAGGGTAACCTTTCTTCAGGTATACTGAGAGAAGGAGCCACACCAATAAGCCAGAAGGCCAATGTAAGAGCAAAGTTGGTCTGCTAAAAGGATCTAAGAAACTAGGAATAGATGAAAGGAACCTTAGAAGTACCAAAACACCTTATCTATTCTAAAGCTCAAAATTCTTGTGCCTGTGATTGTACATACTGAATTGTCAAAATGAGAAGCATTTGTCCGAAAAATGTCACAATACCTGATTTATTGTATGCTAATCTAATTTTAATAATATTAAAATAAAAATGAGAAGCATATGAAAATCTCTGTGTTAACATGTTTTAATGCTTGTGATTATCATATGGTCATATGAGACAAGGTAAAATGATTTCTGTGATACCGTAACCCTAAAGAAAGCCAAATGAAAATTAGGGATCCTCTTAATTATAAATACAATGCTCAATCATGTGAATGGTATAGATTTTATTGGATGAAGTTCTTTTTATGTCTAGATTCCCATGTATCTACCATTATGGATGGGAAGTATGCTCATTATCTCAACTAACTTACCATTTTCTGAGTCATCACTGTCAAAAAGTCACTGAAGTTCATTTTTCCTGTCCCTTCCTTATCAATTTCACTTATCATCTTTTTGATTTCTTCTTTCTTAGGTTCAAAGCCCAGAGCCCTCATTGCAACCTACAACGAAAACAGGATCATCTAAATAAACACATATAAATGATGTAGACGCAAAAATGGCTATTGATGATAATAACAAAATGGTGAAAATGATTAGGGAACACTGTAAAGCTGATTTAATTGATATTTGCAATCAACTTTTATCATTAGATCATTGTTTCAGGTTAAATATACACAGGGTACCTTTTTCTGTTACTTTTTACAGGGAGAAAGGTGATAGGTAAAAGACAAACAACAAGGAAACACAAGGCACCAAAACAGGAATGTGTGCAGCTTGCCTTTAGTTCCTTGATGTCTATAGTTCCAGTTCCATCAGCATCAAAGAGATCAAAAGCTTCCCGGATTTCCTGTTTCTGTTCTTCAGTCAGTTCAGGCTTAGGGCTCATTCTTTTTCTCTGGCCACTGGATGCCATGTTTGTCTTCTTAAAAGTAGAGGCCTTCAGACATTATACAAACACAGAAGCACAGTATTATAAGCCATAGTCCATATTTTATTTATGACAGTTCTAGACATTCATAAATTTTTCATTTATGCTCCACTCTGAGTAATGTACATGTCATTCTATAAACTTTCATAAGCTGGTGAGATGTCTTGCTGCCAAGCCTGACAACATAAGTGAGAACCCAGCACCTACATGGTAGAGAGAATCAACTCTTCCAAGTTGTTCTCTGACCTTCATGCTCAGACTGAGTCCCCTTCTCCCTTACACAAATAACAAGGGTTCAAACTAAGTAAAATTAACCCCAACTCTAAAAAAAATCCTGAGAAGAAAAATAGAAAAACTCTCTTTAATTTAAAACCCCTTTAATAAGTATATTTTAGCTTTTAGTATCACATTGTAAAAAACAGAAAATCAGCAATACACTAATTAAATGACTGTGTTCTACCATAACTGTAAATTAAAACATCATTTCTGTTAATAATGTAATGTCTCACATGATTAAATCCAATTATATTTCACTGGGGAGCCAGCAGCCTGAAGGGACTTTTCATTTTAAAATAATATATTAACATTTTTCTCCTTGTCCCTGTATAGATCAACATAGAGCAAATGAATATATGAATATGAATTTCTGGTGTTAACATGACCAGTTTTTCATCACAGGATATAATTCTGGCCTCCACTGTCTTCAAGTTTATACTACAGATAGTGTATTCATTTGTACCTTTAATAGACATGTCACTTTAGAAAATTAAATTTTTTAAATCAAGATTTCTTAAATCAAAAACTTTTAAATATAAAGAAGCAACATTAGCCAGGCGTTGGTGGCGTATGCCTTTAATCCCAGCACTCGGGAGGCAGAGGCAGGTGGATCTCTGTGAGTTCGAGACCAGCCTGGTCTCCAGAGCGAGTGCCAGGATAGACTCCAAAGCTACACAGAGAAACCCTGTCTCGAAAAAAAAACAAAAAAAAAAGCAACATTAAAAACTCTTTGAATGAGAATAACATGTTTACCTAAAGGTTCAACATGCTTGCATTTTCTCCTTCTTTTCTAAAGCTAGTAAACAGCAAATTTGAGACCATATCTGTTTGTAAGTAATAAACTTATAATTTTATTATGAATAGATTGTCACAAATTTCTATATTGTATATTCAATTAAAGCAACACGGTGTGGTTTAAGTTTTCATTACCAAAGATGAAAAAAAAGATCCCTCCTTGTTCTAATGCCACTGCTAACTCAGACAGCTGATTAATGGAAAAATAATTTATACCAACTGATTCTAAAGATCTGCCTAATAAATTGAGCAATAAGGAAGTTTCCTGGAAAGAACAATTAATGTTTCTATGAACCTCTGACTCTTTAAAAAATATTGATTTTAGAGGCCAGGAAACCCCTTATTTTTCATCCTGAAAGAAAGCTAGGTGAGAAACTAATTATGCATACTTAACAGATATCAACTGTCTGTGAATCTGGGGATCTGAGTTCTAGACATGTACTTAAAACATCAACTTAGGATGCTAGTTCCCAATCCATTTAGCACTTGGTGCCTTGTCTGCGAAGCTCAAAGCATCTCCTGAAAGCCTCAATACATTTGTGACCATCAGAACATAGTAAATCTCTTAGTACCACGCATAAACTTTAGCAGGTGGCAGCGGCCAGGACGCCTGTGTCTGTCTGAGGTCTGAGTCTGTGGGAAGCCTGAGTGTTACCTGCAACTTAATGGTCACCTGTGGTTCCAGGAAAACCAGCAGAGATCAACAGGCAGATTAGGGGTGACTGAAGGTGACTGGGGGCGGGGAGGGTTAAGTGTTGAAGCGCAGGCAGGCTAGCGGCCAGAGGCTGTTATTTTTCTCCTACCCTTCCGGCATAGAGCTCCAAGGAAGAACTAGTACGCCAAAGCGAAGAAGAATGCAGGAAAGGCTGCAGGGCCGCAATGAGGCCTAGGAAGGGCTCGGAGGCACTACGCAGGGTCCATGGAACGCCCAGCACTTACCATCGCCGAATGGACTCCTCCGCGACCGGTTGTTAAGGCAACGCGTACTCGCGGCCTCGGCGCCTTTCCCACTGCTCTGCGCGCGCGCGACCCGCTTCCCATTGGTTTGCGGACGGAGAAGGTGGGGCTAACCTGGCAAGGTCCGCCCCAGGGTAAGAGGGCAGTGTGGTGGCGGCAAGGACTGACGATCTCATTGGACAAAATCGCGCTGTGAGCGTCAACTGGCTGCGCCGGACCCGCGCTAGACCAATCAACGTGAGGAAGGAAGCTCGGCTGATCATGGGCCCATACCTCTCCGTAGAAAAGGGTGTCTGGTCTTGGGTTGAAGTTCGCTGGTTGCAGGTTGCTAACAAGCTGAAGTCGACTGCAAGAGTGCCTAAACCGGGTAAGAGTTGCGGCCTTGCTCATGGAGGCTGCTGCGTGTGAGCAAAAGAGCCGGGAGACAATGAGAGAGAATGGGTGGGATATGGTAAAACCCGAGATGGGAACACAGACTATCTATGGGGCCAGGAAAGATTTGGCCTAACGGGTTGCAGGGGTGACTATTTGGGGCAGCTGAGGCCTAGAAAGGGGAGTGGGCATGCTGACTGTTGTATCAGCGGTTCACGGGGCTGGGACTTAGAAACTCAATGCAGGCGAGTCTTTGTGAATGTAGTTCTCAAGATGATGAACTGGGGACTTTCTGGGTCTAGAAAAGTCATCAGAATGTGCCCTTTTAGAACGTGCAGACACAAAAGTCACATGAGAAGGACCATTCCTGGATGAAACTTCCTTCAAAGAAAAGCTACAGGGATTTTGGAAATGTTGGATGCATAGAGCATTAAACAGAAATGTGTGCAGGGGGGGGGGTGGTGTTACCTGGAACTGTTCCAGAAATAATGGAGGTCCACGGTCAGCTACAGCAGTACCTCAACCATCACACATGCTTCCCTCAAGGCATAGAATATTAGTTTGGGGACATTAATGCCATAGCATCAGTTTCTCAAACTGACAAAGGCCAGAGAAACTTAACAGCATACTATAAATGTAATGTAGGCCGTTTACCTTCCTTCCTTGGAGCCATGAACCAGATTCAAAACTTTTGTATCCCATTCGACCACTCTGTTCCCTCTAGCAGCAATCCCCCATACCCAGCCCCTGGATTCTCTCAGTTCTGCCTTTGAAGTGTCTTTTCTTTTTTTCGGCTTCTTCCCAGCCCTTCATCAACATTATGAGCTGGATTTATCACCAAAGTCTCCCTGGCATGCAACTCCTCCTATCATACCCACACTGGTACACACCTCCTCATCCCTGGCTAACTCCCACCCAAGACACTGCTTTCATGACTGATAAACTCTTCCTGCATTGACCTTACCCAGCCCCATGAACTTTGAAAAAATACAATATTTTGATTAATTCTTTGAGAATTTTTGTCACAGATGTGTATAATTTTTTTGTCATTGTTTTGAGCTAGGGTCTCACTGTGTAGCCCCAGCTGTCCAGGAACTCCCTATATAGATCAGGCTGACCAGTCTCATGGAGATCCACCTGCCTCTGCCTCCTGACTGCTGGGATTAAAGTTGTGTGCCATCATGCCCAGCATTGCCAATGTATTTTGATCATATTCACAATCCATTCATCCCCTTAACTCCTTCCAGAGCTGCAAACCTCCCTGGCTTCACTGAACTTTTGCAGTTAGTGTTCTCACACAGTCTCTAGTAGCTTGTAGTCTTATGGTTTTATCCCAGTGTATGATGTGGGGTTATAGCTTGGCTTTTAATGGGGTCAAAGTTCCACCATAAACCAGATTTGAGTCTTCTGGCATGGCAACCATCACAGCCCACAAGCTCCTAGGAGTTTGTTCTTTGAGGTTCACTTTTCAGTATTTCAGTGCAATTCTGTTTTATGTGTGTGTAAGTATGTGATCAAATTGATGTACCAAAATTGCAATATTTTGACCATTTTTGTACTCTATTCCCACTGTAGGGCAAGGAAACCAACTCCACTCTAATATTCTCCTGCTGCAAAACTGAAACTGTGTATTAGTAGCCCTTTCCCATCCAACCACTGCCAACTACTACCAGATACCATCTACTCTCAGTTTCTGTGAGTTTAACTACCTCATGGTAGTGGAATCAGATAGTGCTTATTCTTTTGTGCCTGGCTCATTTCACTTAGCATGATACCTTCAGAGTACATTCAAGTTGTAACATGTGTCATAATTTTGTTCCTCTTTATGACTGCATAATATCCTACTGTATGGTTTAACTGAACTACATTTTATCAGTTCATCCATCAGTGGAAATTTGGGTTGCTTTTATCTTTTGACTCCAGTAAACAGTCCTACTTTGAAGATGAGTATGAGTATAGAAATGTCAGCTCCAGGGTTTATACTGTCAAATGAAACTGCTGGATCACATGGCAACTCTGTGAGGAACTGCCAAACTTCTACAGTGGATAAAACATTTTGCCATTAACCTCACATGAGTATGCCAGTTTTTCTATGACGTCAACAACACTTATTTGCTGTTTTCTGGCTTCTGATAGTAGCCCTCTTAATGGATGTGAGATGGTCTTACTGAGATTTTGATTGGCATTTCTCTAATGATTGGTAAATGTTGCATCAATTTCATGTGCTTGCTATCTGTTAAGTGTATCTTCTCTGAAGAAATGCTTGCTCATTCAGAGACGTTACTAATATGCATTTGAACACCTAGTGCATTTCAGATAGCAGGCAGGGGAAAGGGAATGCCAGTGGCATTTGACTAAGCATTAGACTAGTTCTGATACCACAAGACCTACAGACAGCAAAGCTATCCTCAGAATTCTTTGCTGACTCACAGTATTTACACAGTCTCAGATAACTGATGTAAAATTTGAGACAGTATAGGTTTAGTTTTGACAAGAAGCTGGTATGCTAACACCCATATGATCATCATTTGAGCACTGTGACTGCACTAGGGTGGAACATGTTACTTTTAATTCCTGTGTCCTCCTCTGAAAAGTGGGAGAGGGTATATGCTTTGACTAGTAGTATTGGTGGGGGGCAGCTGTGCTCTGTATTTCCAGACTGCACAGAACTCATCACCTACATCTTTGTAACACCCAACTACATAGGATGGTTTAAAATAATAGGGCTCTAAACCTGTGGGAAGCTTTCCCTCTCTGCAGCTCTCACAGAGATTTTCCATGACAAGGTCACTTAAAATCCCCATCACTGGAAGTTAATGTTGTTTGAAAGTGTCAGGCTGTGGAAATTGGATTGGAGCCACCATAAGACCCAGTCGGTGCTGGCTACCTGCTACTTCTTTCCCCAGTGGCATTCTCTGCATGTTCTTTCATGGGTAGCCCTCTATCATTTCTGGTACATCTTGCCATTTATACATATTGCATCAGTAAATATATTCTTTGTGTTTTCAACTTAGTATTGTAGATAAAAGAAGAGGGACATATATGATTAGGCTTTCACCTGGGCTGCACTTTTCTGTTTGGTAGCATCATTGCACATGGTTATGTCTGTCTCCCGTTGTGAACTGCTTGTTCGCCACCATTCTCCAGTAGCAAACCAAAGATTTTTTGGTATGACTAGTGAAGGAGGTTACTTATCTGGCTTCCTGTCCTGCCTCTAAGCCAAGTACTCTGTAAACTAAAGGGCCCATCATACCCTGGGAGATCAGCCTCTAGCACAGGGATATGTACAGGGTACTTTGGCCTGTAGGTGTAGCTGTGACTCAGCTGTTTATGAACACTCACCCATAACAGCTAAAGATTCTTTGCTTCACATACTATTAATGTCTTTCTCTAATTATGTCTTTAGGAAGAAGAGTTGATTGCAAACAAGACTATAGTTTGATCCATAATGGAACAAGCAGTTGGTGGTGAGTCAAAGAGAAGCCAGGTCACAGGGACACATTTGACAAAAGTAAGTACTAGCATTAAAAAGTAGGGGAGGCCAGGCTGTGGTGGCACACGCCTTTAATCTTAGTACTTGGGAGGCAGAGGCAGGTGGGTCTCTGTGAGTTCAAGGTTAGCCTGCTCTACAGAGTGAGGTCCAGGACAGGCAGAGCTTTACAGGGAAACCCTGTCTAGAAAAACAAAACAAGCCGGGCGTTGGTGTTGCACGCCTTTAATCCCAGCACTCGGGAGGCAGAGGCAGGTGGATCTCTGTGAGTTCAAGGCCAGCCTGGTCTCCAGAGTGAGTGCCAGGATAGGCTCCAAAGCTACACAGAGAAAAGCCAAACCATTAATATTACCTGTGCATTTTAAAATGTACTTAATCAATTTGTTCAGGCAATGCTGGTTGGTTATGTTTTTGTATATTATATACCTCTATTTAAGATATGCCAGTTACTTATTGTTGTATAGCAAAAAAATAATTAGAAAGCAAGGGTTTTAAAAAGCAGTAATTAGATCTGGAATAATGGCTCAGTGATTAAGATCACCAGCTGTTCTTGGAGAGGAGCCAGGTATAGCCGCCAGCACCTACATGGCAACTTACAACCATCTGTAACTCCAGTTCCCAGGTCTCCCCTTCTTCTGACTCCTGAGGGCACTGCATGCACATGGTACACAGACATACACACAGGCAAAACACTTACACACACAAAATAATAAGATAATTTTTTAAAGTAATAACATCTTTGCTCATTACTCTGGATCCAGTTGGGAGATTTTATGCTAGTCTTCCCTGGGCTTGTTCATGTACCTGAAAATATGCAGGCACGTGTGGCGTGCATGTTCCCAAGTACACTCATGCATGTGATGATAGTAAATGTTGGCTGTCAGCTAGACATGTTGCTTTACCTAGACTTCCTAGTGGAATGGTAGAAACCTTCCCAGATGGTGGCAGTAGCCCCTATGAACTAGTGTCTTGAGTCTCAGAAGAGACTCGAAGGAATTGTTACATCATCATTGTCAAGCCTTCTGGTGGTTCTTCACATAGATCAGGTCTTCAAGTTTATTGTGATGTAGTTCACTCTTGATAAACATCATACTTCCAAAATATGTCTATCACATATCAGTAAATTAGATATTCTTCAAGATGTTTCTGGGCCCATCAAATTAATCTAGTTTTGCTGTAGAACTCAAATAAGGCTTCATGTGGGCATCTTTGGTCAAAGACCTGTGCCCCAAAATCATAACTGCTAGTATCATCAACCTTTTTTTCTTTCTTTCTTTTTGGTTTTTGGTCTCTGTAGACCCAGCTGTCATGGAATTGTAGACCAGGCTGGCCTTGAACTCACAGAGATCTACCTGCTTCTGTCTGCTGCCAAAGTGCTGGGATTAAAGGCTTGTGCCACCACCACCCAACTTGTCAGTCTTCTTTAATGCTTTGGAATACGCCCTTTTTTCCACTAAGTGACTTCCTAAGAAATAAATGTCTAATGTAACGTACAAAGAAAGAACACTTTTAGTCTCATATGCATATTTTACATAGGACCGATCTGGGAAAAAAAAAAGTCATCCTGCTGAAGAAAAAGTAAAATCAGAAAGATTGGAGAAAACCCAGGAGCCCCAGGCATGCTCTTGAGATTAGATTACAATTGAATTAAATTATTTTGTGGTACTGGAAACTAAACATATAGCCTAACATATACGCTCTATCACTGAGCTGTATACTCCACTCCAAGTCCATTTTTCTCCCGTTGTTAACACTATTATATGCTCATTTATCCTTTTAGTGCATTCTGAAGTCTCATTACTTGCTTCCTATCTAAAATTTCATTTTTTATTACTACTTATTCTTTTTTTGTTTGCTATGGGCACAAAAAGTTAGTGACTGTTTCACATGGCCTCCTCACATAGCCTTAGACAAATGATTAAAGACATTAGCCTTTACATGTTTGACATCGCTGAGCAGAGGCTAGTTTTCTGTCCACCACTATAAAACTCTACTGACAAGCCACTGGCTCAGTTCTCCCAATCAGTATCAGTATAATATATCAGTATAAGGAGGGAATCTATGTCATCCTATCCAAGAGTGGATTTATTTAAAATCTGGAAATGAGAGCTAGGCACGATGATATACACACCTTTAATTCCAGGACATGAGAGACAGAAGCAGACAGATATCTGTAGGTTCAATGCCAGCCTGGTCTACATAAGGAATTCCAGGACAGCCAGGGATACATATACCATGTTTCAATAAATAAGTAAATAAATGCATAAATACATAAACAAATACAAAATTCTGAGGGCTTTTTAAAAATGTGTGTGTGTGTGTATATATATATATATATATATATATATATATAGTAAACACACCCATATGTTTACCCAAAAGGAAGACATTTGGTATCTTTATTGCTCACTACCTTATTTCTTTTAGACAGTCTCTCACCATAATAATTATTTTTCTATTGCTGTGATAAAATACCATGACATAGGCAACTCATAGAATAAAGGGTTTATTTGGGTTTATGATTCCAGAGAGATAAAGATCCATTGCTATCACTGCAGGGATGCTTGGCAATAGGCAAACATGGTAGCAGAAGCAGCAAGCTCAGCATTTACATGTTGAATCACAAGCATGAAGCCAAGAGAGAGTACTGAGAATGACAGGAGACTTTGAAACTTCAAAGCCCACCCCTAGTGACATATTTTCAGCAATGCCATATCTCATAAACCTATCTAAACATCACCTTGGAAACAAGGTTTTTAAATTCAAGATTATAGGGGACATTCTTATTCAAACTACTAGTATACTCTGTAAACTAGAAGATTGCTGTTTTGCCTAATATGGCCTGACTTTTCACATTGGAGCTAAGGATTTGAACTCATGTCCTATCTTTGCATAATAGCAAGAACATTCAGGTTCCAGGTTAGGGACTAGACAGCAGGCGGGTAGGGTTTTTCTAAAAGAGTCTGAGAGGGAAATAAACTGGCTCACACATGCGTTCTTCTCCTGGCTCTTTATTTTTGAAAGATGGATGCTTCCCAATAAAGTTCTCTCTCAAAAGCTATCTTTAAGATTTCTCTGTAAAAAAAAAAAAAAAAAAAAAAAAAAAAACAACTCTCTCCTCAGAAGTTCTTTCTCTAAACACTCTCTCTTAAAGTTCTCTTTAAAAATTCTTCCTAAAAATTCTCTTAAGTTTTTCCTAAAAAGTCTCCAAAAGTTCCTTCTTCTAAAAGTTCTCCTGAGGTCTCCCTATCCCATAAGGCTTCTAGCTTTTATATCCACAGGCATATTTAACAACTCTCTGACAATAGGGCATGCATATCTCTCAGAGCCAGGAAGGTGGTAAGATCTTGAGCAAAGCAGATGCCTCATGTCTGCCTCCTGGATTGACTTGCTAAACGTCCTGGCAAACTTAAGTCTCAGGGGGGATGTGACTTGCAACTCCTGCCGTTTATTCACTAAAGGAGGCTTCTCAGTGCTATATCAAAGGGAAAAACTAAGGCTATGTAGTGTGGATGCCCTGGTGAGAAGGAATTCCTTTCTCTGGGGCCTATTTGAGAATACAAAGCACCAAGTATATATTCTATATACAGCCAAATTCATAGTAACACATTCTGGAGTTGATACATGGAATATTAACTGCTACTTCTGTAATTAATGATGAAGGCTCCCAACAGCATAGCAAACACTCTTAACCACTAAGCCATTTCACCACCCCCTAAATTAATTTATTTAAAAGCAATTAGACTATGAGTCTTATGAAATCCTTGAACCTAGAGGTGCTAGAGAGCATCAGTGGAGAGCTCTGAGGACTGGCCAAACTTTTAATAAACCAAGAGTGATTCTAACTGCATACAATATGCCTATGCAACCTAGGTAGAAAGAGATGGAAGGAAGATATTGCTTGAGAGGCAGTTGGTGGGCAGTGATAAAGCTGCTCTTGTCTACAGATTATGAGAGCCATTTCACAATGGATACCCAGATTAAGAGAAAGGTAAATCTGCAGACAGTACCTGGCTCTCAGAAGCCCTGAGTATGTCACATACCTTAGTATGTCAATGTTTAAGGTACAAGACGGGAGGTTCATGGGCAGGTTAAGAGCATCTGATGCTCTTCCAGATCCAGGGTCAGTTTTCAGCATCCACATAGTGGCTCACAGCCATCTGTAACTCCAGTTCCAGAGGATTTGACATCCTCTTCTGGCCTCCATGGGTACTGCATGCAGGTGGTGCTCAAGCATACATGCCGGCAATATACCCATACATGTAAAATAGAGATAAATCTTTTTTAAATTACTAAAAAGATGGGAAGTTGGTTGCTTTATTTTGTAATAAGGAATAGAAGTTCTTTTTGATCTTGACTATCCACATAGCCAACCTTGACTGACTCTACAAGCTAGGGAAAGTGGGATGTGTCATCTCAGAGAAGCCCAGGTACAGCTTTGGAAAGACCCCAGAGAGGAGAGCTATTCTAGGCCTTCTTTAAGGACAGTGGTAGTGTGGTAGGTAATCTTCATTGGCAACATAACTAGATTTGTCATCACCTAGAAGACTTGTCTGTAAGGTTGTTTACAGATAGATTTAACTGACAAAGAAACACCTGCCTTAAATGTTGGTGGCAGCATCCAATGTGCTGGAATCCCAGACTGAATAAAAAGGTAAACAGAAAAGGCCAGCTGAGTGCCCCCCTCTGTGTGTGTGTATGTGTGTGTTTGTGTGTGTGTGTGTGTGTGTGTGGTGTGTGTATGTACCTCCCTCTCTTCTAACCAAGAATACAGTGTAGCCACCTGCCTCACCTGTTATCTTCCTACCATGATGGCCTTTATTCCTTAAACCATGAGCCAAAATAAATCCATCTTTCCTTAAGTTGCATCTGACAGATACTTTCTTAGAATGATGAGAAAAGGTTACTAATGCAAGTAGCCAGATTATTGAGCTGATGCCAACGAACATTTGCATTAATATCCTGGAGTTCTAATACTTATGCACCTGCATGTGGTATACTGTCCTTCTATTACCTCACTTCACATAGTTGCAATTTAACTAAGAAATTGGGTGCAGTGGGGAGGCTGGAATCTAAATACCACACCCAGTGCTGATTCATCAGTTCCGCCAAGTTCAGAGAAGGCAGAGCCTGAATGATGAATGACTACATGGTTCTGCATGGAGATACCAGCAGCTTAGCTCTTAATACCTGGGTGAAGCAGGAAGGGGTTATGTAGTTAGCCTGGAGCCGAAAGAGCTATCTCCTTGTGCACATGGAGGCAAAGAAAATCACTGTCCTGTGAGTTTGGAGACAGATGCTTTTATTACAAATTCTCAAATGGCTAGCCTTTTTTCTGACCAGGGATTACCAATCAGGAGCAAGATGGCGTTGCCTTGGGTGTTTTTTGCTTGTTTAGATTGTCTAGTGTGATCATAGGAATTTTAATTCTCTTCCAATAAATATAAAACGTAGATTACATCAAATCTACCAGGCTAGCCTAGTGTCATTTGTTTTCTCTTCCTCCCTTGTTAAACCCAGGACAAGAGGTGACACTGGTGATCAGACACAATTATACCAAGCTTTTCCCTGACTCGGGCAGTTTCAGACAGACAGACATATGCATATGCTATTGCAATGGTTCATGACATGTGAGCATAACTTTAGTCTTCATACCTCTGATCCTCTTGCCATCCCTCTTTCCTCAGGCTAAGAAGTGCACGGTGATTGGAGGCTCTGGGTTCCTGGGGCAGCACATGGTGGAGCAGTTGCTGGCACGAGGCTATGCTGTCAATGTATTTGATATTCGCCAAGGGTTTGATAATCCACAGGTGCAGTTCTTTATAGGTGATCTCTGCAGCCAACAGGTAAGGGACCCACTCAGCCTCACTAATCTCGTACAGGACTACAAAGGGAAAACCAAGTGCTCATAGGTCAGGAACACTATAATTTGAAAAGAAATATATTTTGAAAAATGTGCAAGTTACAGGAAATAATTTCACATATCATGTTGTCACTATTCAGAATGAATGACTGTTGTTTGTGCTACGGGGACTTTATTGTATCGTAGGAGCATGAAACCAGCCATGTCCAGTAAGCAGACAAGGCTGTGTGCCAAGAAAATTTTACTAAAACATTTCATCAAACATATTATGGGTTGTAGCATGTCAACTGCTGCTTTATAGTATACAGACTCTTCTTGTCACATGCCATTCAGTGTTCTCCAGAGAGGCAATCCACAGTGGGAGAGAGACAGGCTGTGCACAGGGCAGGAAGGAGAGAAAGACTGAGATTGAATTCAAAGAATGTGATTGTGGGGGCAAGTGTGAAGTTATTGGGACAGGCAGGAAACTTGGGCAGAACTGACACGGTGCCTTGATTAGAACCCCTGCGTCTTATAGGAACCTGTTTTGTTCTTAAGGTCTTCTTTACCAAGAGTTTCAAGGATATTGTTCTTTTGTCTGAGCCAGCTAATTGTTGGTATTTCCCCCCAATCACTCCTAAACCAGTGCTGGATGCAGTCACTGAGTTGACTCAAAATCTCCTTCAGATTGTTTCCTCAGCACTGGTAAAAGCCTTCCCACACCTGTATCTGATTCCAAAGGTAGACCCTCCCAACACAGCATGTTCTGTAGTCACACTCAGCCTTTCATGTTCAGGCATGTACTGGTGGCAAGGTTCATTAACCAGATCAGGTGTTTGCCAGACAAATGTGATAAAGGGTCAGAGGAATAAGGCAGAGTTCTAACAGTGGATCCTGAATTCTGAGCTAAGGAAAGAAAGGTGGATATGATGCAGGTAAAGAACATGGCAGGGGAACACTTAAAAATAATCCCTTTGGCCAGACAATGGTGGCGCATGCCTCTAATCCCAGCACTCAGGAGGCAGAGGCAGACAGATCTCTGTGAGTTTGAGACCAGCCTGGTCTTCAAGAGCTAGTTCCAGGACAGCCTCCAAAGCCACAGAGAAATCCTGTCTCAAAAAAAATCCCTTTTCCCCAGCCTCCTAGTGCTGGAACTACAGGCAACTACCCCAGCTGCCAGCCAAAGAACCTCCACTCAGTACACTCTATTTAGTTCCTGGTTCTGCCTTCCAAACAACCAGATGGAAAGATGCTTACCAACTGAAAGGGGAAACTCAAAGTAGTTCAAGATCTACTGTATTAAGATATATTACATACCACTTTGTCCCTTTGCCTCAGCCTCCTAGTGCTGGAACTACAGGCAACTACCCCAGCTGCCAGCCAAAGAACCTCCACTCAGTACACTCTATTTAGTTCCTGGTTCTGCCTTCCAAACAACCAGATGGAAAGATGCTTACCAACTGAAAGGGGAAACTCAAAGTAGTTCAAGATCTACTGTATTAAGATATATTACATACCACTTTGGGAGATTTTATTTTTATTTTATGTGTGTGGGTGTTTTGCCTGTTAAGTGTGTCTGTGTACCAAATATATGCAGTGCCTACAAAGGCCAGAAGAGGGCATCAGGTCCTCTGGGACTGGAGTTACAGATGGTTGTGAGCCACGTTGTGGGTGCTGAGTATTGAACCCAGGTCCTCTGGAAGAACAACGGTGCTCTTAACTTCTCAGCCATCCTTCTAGCCCCACATACCACTTTTTAGAGTTGCCTCCATATCTTTTGGTATCTTTTGTAGCTGACATGAAGCCTTTAGTTCAGATTGTTATTCTCTGTAAGTCATCTATCTGGCTTTTCCACTCATGGCTTCAGGATTTTCTTTAAAATATCCAGGTCTCTGTTTTAGTTTTTTATTATATTCCCCCTGTATCTTTGCTTCTGTCATGTGTTTCTTCTCTTTCTTTATACTGTTATATAGATTCTCTCCTTTATATAACCTCTCATGACTATGTCGTCTTTACCCTCTCAGATTATTTTCTCTGTGCATAAGGGCATGGGCAAGTATACATGCTTATGGAGGCCAGAGGTTGGCATCAGGTCTCTTTCTAGTAGGTTTCCACCTCATTTTTGAAACAGGATCGCTAAACGTGGAGATCATGGACACATCTACACTGGCTAAGAAACTCCAGTTGTGTTTCTTTGGCAGATTTGGTTTGGTTTGTTGTTGTTGTGTTGTTTTATTTTTTGTAACATTGATCCTGGGAATCAAACTCAAACCCTATACTTGCACATCAAGCACTTTGCTAACTCAGCCATTCCTCAATGTGTTATCCCCCCCCCAATTATTTTGAAGCCAATATTCAACATATCTATCGGTCTATCTTTAAACCTTTCAGAATTTGTCTCTAAAATATAAAAAACATTTTTATTGAAAACATTACACAGTCACATCTCAGAGGCACCATTAATACCTGCATTCATTAACTGCTTCACAAGACTTCTGTGTAATTGTTTTTTCCAAATAAAGAGTTAAGTGCAATCAAGACTGTATTTGATTAAAATGTCTCTTAGTTCCCAAGATGCCTTAGTGTTGCTTAGCTTGTTCATTATCAGGAAGCATTTCCTGGGGTCCTGCTTTGTTAATTGCATTTCCATGGCACCTGCATGTGTCTGTGCCACCTGATGTTTCCTGTGAACTGGTAAATCTAGGACTGCATTGTCCAGTAAGGCAGCCACTGGACACATGACCATATAGCACTTCAGTTGAGATAAGTCTACAGTGAGAGGCACTTTAAAATACATATTGATACCAGTAAGTATCTCAACAATTTTATATTATGTCTATATTTTATATTAAATTTTATATTAAATCTAGAGTTTGATAGATTTATCCACATGCATATTTTGAGACAGGGTCTTGCTTTGTAGTCTAGACTAGCTTGGAACTCACTGTGTCAAGGATACTGGCCTCAAACTGACACTAATCCTTTTTGCTTCCACCTCACAAATGCTGGGAATGCAAGTATGAGGCATCACACCCAATTTCATTTATTTCTATGGAAATAAAAACTTGATATGTGGTTCAGGTCACCCCATCTTGGTGCGTCATGACTGCAAATCCCTGTGCTACACACACACACACACACACACACACAGAGAGAGAGACAGAGAGACAGAGAGAGACAGAGACACAGAGAGAATAGATTTATTAGAGATACTAAATAGAAGGGTGAATGTTTTCATCTACATTTCCTAGTTCACAGCTCCTTCTCTAAGACTGGCTATAGAAACTTCAATTCATCTTTCTAAAGAAGAGTTTTATGCTCTTCTCCCTACCCAGTGTCAGAAGGGATCCATCCCTATACCTAGGAGGAAGGAATGCTACACAGAACAGCCAAGAATAATCTGACCAGGCAAGCCTTTCTGGGTTTGCTTATTTGCTTTGCTTATGCCTGTGCTTCAGTCATACTTGTATCATGAAGACTGAAGGCTGGTGCACCCAGGGTGGGTGTGGAATGTCCACACCACTCCCTTAACTCCTCACCTTGTACATCTCTTTACCTGTATCCTTTGGAATTCTTTTATAATGAGTCAGTAAATGTGTTTACCTAAATTCTGTCATGCACAAGTTAAACAAAACCATATAGGGAACCTGGGAGTATAGTAACTGTGGATGCATAAATTTTCTTATCTAGCACATTATTAAAGGAATCTATGTATCTATAGTTACTAAAAAGAAAATTTGGGTAGACAGAGATCTGTTTGGCAGAGGAATGTCAACTCAATAAATGTATAGGGTGTCCTCAAATGAGAATGTCACCATTTGCTGAGAAATGGTCCAGGACAGAACCAACAGTAGATGCTGTAACCAGTCCATGGAATTATCACCCCACAGATTTGGTAAGAATCTGGAAGCCATTACCTTCACTGAATGACCCAACTTGGCATTAACCAGAAGTATCGTGATAAGAACACACTAGCACTGATGGGGAATGCTTGCCAAAACTATTAAGCCTGAATGTAACCTCGAATGAACAGACAAATGCAAATTGAGCAGAAGTCCATAAATTAAACCTCCCTGATCCTGTAAAATATCACAGTGTTACACAAGCCAGAAAGCAAAATTTAGGGATTCCTCCAGATTAACAGAAATGGAAAAAACACAAGGTTCTTATATATGCATGTTCCATATTTGGATCTTAAACCCCCAAATAAAAATAGATATAAAAGATATTGTCAGAATGGTTAGGGAAGCTTAAATCTGAAGTAACTATTACTTAAAAGTAGATAGGAGATAAGGAGATGGCTCAGTCAGTAATAGCACGTGCTATAAAAGTAATTCAAATCTCACAAACCCACAAATAATAAAAAACTATACATGGTCATGAAAGCCAAGCATTAGAGAAGTGAAGATGAGTGAATTTCAGGAGCTCCTGAAACAACAAGTTGTCTTTTAAAGTGTAGGAGATGGAGACATACCGATCTCTGTGAGTTTGAAGGAAGCCTGGTCTACATAGCAAGTTCCAGGCCAGTCAGAGTTATATAGTTAGATACCTTCTCAAAAAAAAGGAGAGGGGAAGACATCTACATCCTCTTCTGGTCTCCAGATGTGTGTGCACACGCAAATTTAATTTTAAAAAGAATATCCTATTTGTTAGAATGTGCCTACTGTTCATCATTTGATAATTATTTGGGTAAAAGTCTATATGCCTAGAAGATGATACCTTACTCTCAAATGCTTTCCTAGCACTATAATGTTTGTATATTATGACATAAGATTTTATGGCATCTGGTGATTTTCTTTCTTCTGATAATAACCATAAATTATACCTAAAGCCTACTACTTTGTGGAGATTTGACACTATGGTGACATTTTGTCATTCTGTTCATTTAGCCCCTCAGATCTTTTTTCCTCAAGAATTAATCAGTTTATTCTCTATTTTCCACTTTCACTAACAACTCATATTCTTACTGATGACCAAATTGCCACCTCTTTGACTCAGTAGGGGTATCTGTATGTATGTTCTTTAATCTTAAGTCTTGGAGAGCCTCCTTCCTGATAAGATAAAACAAGGTCTTCTGATTCACTGAGTGAGTTAACTGTCCCAGATTTCCAGCCACCTGTTTGTCTTAGGAGATTCCTTCTAGAAGTAAGTGAAACTGACTCACTTTGTACATATTCCAGTTACTGCATTGTCTGGCTTCTCATACTCCCTTTTTATTCAGGACAAGATAATTAAATGAGACAATTAAAAGAAAATGTGGTTTTATCCCACCTGTTCCGTGTAGTTTGAGTCTTTTAAAAGAGTATGTTTCTGTGTTGCTTATATAATTATAAAAAGCCAAAAGACCTACAGGCCAAAGATGACAGAGAATGTGAGAAGGCTGTTGACCTCCCCTAGGCTGGAATGATTCTTTTGTGTTTGTGTGCTTTTCCAGGACCTGTACCCAGCTCTGAAAGGTGTAAGCACAGTTTTCCACTGTGCATCACCACCACCATCCAGTAACAACAAGGAACTCTTTTATAGAGTGAATTTCATTGGCACCAAGAATGTCATTGAAACCTGCAAAAAGGCTGGGGTTCAGGTAAGGGGAATGGGGAAGATGCTTTCTTTTTCAGAGGGAAGGGATTTGGAGTGGTTCCTGTTACTGTCTTCCTGGGCTTATCCAGGGTTGGCTCTTTCATGTTGAGAAGATACTAAAAATTAGCCCCTAGGTACCAGTTGATATCACACAGGGCCATTTGGGGTTAAACTCTTCCAATACAGAAAGACCATCTGAGTGCTCAGATAGGCTAAGGCTTATTGTTCTTTGCTCAAAGAGCTATGAAATTTAGACATTGCTTATTTTCTCTGTTGAAACAGCATGTACATAATGTTTCCAGTGTGCTTTTTAACCACTGTAACCCTTTTTCAAGTGTGCATTCAGTGATAGTAACCATATTCACTTCATTGTTCAACCATTATCACTGTCCTATAGCTACATAGTAAGCAGAAATTCTGCATTCTTTTGCCCTTCCCTAGGTCCTGGCAGCCACTATTCACTAGTCTATCTCTTTTATTTCTTTGGAAAGCGCACATGAATGCATTCAAACAGTTTTTATCCTTTTGTGGTGTGGGTAACTTACCACAATGTCTGTAACATTTGTCTACATTGTAGAATTACCTTCATTTTTTAAGAATTATACTCCTCATTTATCGATGGAGAGAGACTGAGGAACATCTCCAACATAGACCTCTAACCTGCACATGCATACACACACACACACACACACACACACACAGAGAGAGAGAAGGAGAGAAGGGGAGAGAGAGAGAGAGAGAGAGAATAAATATAACTATTTTGTTTATTTATTCACCGATCAATAGACATTTGTGTTGCTTTTGCCTTTAGACTGCTATGAATTAATTATACTTCTGTAAATGGAGACTACAAATACCTACCTCAGTCCTCGCTTTTTTTTTTTTCCTTTTGATTTTTCAAGACAGGGTTTCTCTATGAAACAGTTCTGGCTATCTTGGAACTAGCTCTTGTAGACCAGGCTGATCTTGAACTCACAGAGAACCACCTGCCTCTGCCCCTCTGCCTCTGCCTCTGCCTCTGCCTCTGCCTCTGCC